CGCCCACGATCTCGCCGCATTTGCCACGGTATTGCCATGGCGCACTGGCAAAACGGTGCAGTTTCGCCAACAACACTAGATGAAAGCAAAGAGGAACGGAAGACGCGTCTGGCGCGCGCGACGGAGTTCGTTCTTGCTACCAAGACAGCGTATGAGAGCCAACAGCTCGATACCTCCACCGGCAACGACCGGGTACTCTGGATGACCGCGACGCGCTGGGTTCGCTCATCGGGCGTTTGTTCAGGGGACAAGACTCTGCTCTGCGCGCACGCGAATGGGCTGCATGGGACCACCTATGCGCCCTTACTCCGACGACTACTCGCACAGCGTCAAGACATTGCCGAAGTGTGGGCTCTTGATAGCGTGCAGCACGGCGATGCAGCGCTCCTGAACGACGGAAGATTCGGTGTACTCTACGACTGGCATGAGATGGCCCGAGATGCGCTCTGCTTCTTGCAGCACTTTCTACCTCCTACACTCGGCTCAGCGCCTCTGCCCGTACATCTACCGCAGATCTCGCACAGCAAATCAGCCCCACAACGCAAAGTTGATGCGCTCGGACACTCCTTTGGCGGAAGCGCTCTCATTCTCGCCGCTGCTCACAACCCCTCCCTCTTCTCCTCTCTCATGCTCGCAGACCCCGTCATCCTACCGCCTACCGCAATGCGGACGCTAGATCAAATGTCAGCCCATGTAGCCGGTGCACTTAGCCGACGCTCTCGGTGGCCTTCCCGTCAAGCGGCGTACAACTCACTCGCTGCGAACCCCTTCTTCGGTATCTGGGATAAGGAGGTGCTGGACGTGTACGTAAAATACGCGTTGGCGGAGGATGGAAGTGGCGAAGTGCGCCTGAAGTGCGATGGGATCAGCGAGGGCGCTGTTTTTGCGGAGATGCGGTCGTCCAAGGATGCGTGGGCTGCGTTGCCTACACTCGATCGGCGCGTACCGGTGCTGTGGATCAGCCCTCCTGCAGGGAAGAAGCAATTGTGCGTATGATCTATGACTTAATGATAAAAACTACGCTCATATTGCTACTCTGTAGCGTTTTGCAATCGCAAGAACTCGCAGATGCGCGCATACGCCTACGACCTGCCAGCAGCGCACACGTCACGATCCCAGACGGAACACATCTAGTAGGACAGATTCAGCTTGCTCTGTACCCGAACCTACGCTAACAACGATACTACTTCAGCTTGTGCAGACACACCCGCGTCGAGTCGGTGCGTCTTGGCTCTTTGCCTCACATATTCTCGCATGCTGACTGACTTTCCTCAGCGGATGCTGCTCATACCTTCCTGCAAGCCATCGAGGCGGGAGATGTCGGCGATCTCCGTGAGCTGCAGTTACATGATCCAGACGAAACGGCGCCTGCGCAGTCGCCCTCGCGCGCTCGACTCTGAGGTCGAGGTAAGTAGCGGCGGTCAACGAAAGAGGCGCGCGAGCATGGAGCATTGCGCATTAGGGTTAAGGTTGGCCATCGGCGCCGCGCCACATGTCAACGTGTCTTGTCCCACTCCGCCATCAGGCCGCCTCCGGGCTCTAACTCCGTCTTCCACGCTTAGGACGCGTTCATCCCTTCTGTTTTTCCAATGTAGACTGTTCTCGAGATGTACAGTACGATCGTCGCGGTCCCCGACCCAACAAACCGACGTTTATTGATTTCTATGGCGTTCTCACACCTTTAACGCGGCGTGCTTCTTCTGCGGGTCTACCCATCAGAATCAGAGTACTGCGAAGGCCTTCGAAGTGCTGCGTCAAGTCTCTCACATGTATATACGCCCAGAATCGCGACTCGACGATATTAGCATTCTGTGTACGACTTGAATGTGCTTCGCCGGCAAAATGTTCCCTCAGCGGGCTGAGTGAATGCACCGCGTCCCGCCACAACTGTATGCAGGGTCTTACGAGTAGAGTCAAGGCTAGCGTGACAAGACCGCTCCGTGTACAGTATACATCACGCAAGCTGAGCACGAATGCGCAGTCCACATTAGACACAGATGGCCGTGGTAGGAAGCAACGTTGAGCGCTCTCATGAGCCCCATCACCATGTCCGGCAATGCGCGGCCCGCGCTGGCCCGCGCCACATTCAAGTTCGCCGCACCTCGTTTCCGAACTACGACTACCACTACACCTGCCACTATTCCAAAGCAGTCACAACGAACTTGCATGATATAGCATGAAAACTGTAGCGAAGGGTAGCGAGACGTGCGAACTATAGAACTCTGAGACATCGTCTCCTCTCGCCGATCTTGCGTCTCGGGGCTGCTTGCGCTCGACTTTCGAGTACCTCCATAACCTCGGACCCAAATCTAACCGGAAACCGACCCTACATCCTCTCACCACCTCCACAGACTCAAGATCCATCCATGACCCTTCTCGCGGCTCAACTTGAACACCACTCGCCCATCCCTCAGCATGAATCCGCCGCCCTCCGCTCGTTCTACGACTCTGCCTGGGGCCGACAATGGACGCCCCTAAACAACATACGAGTCATAGCGACACCTCCCGGCTCTCTTCCAGGACACATCGACGACGATGCACCCGTCATCAATATCGCGACCTCCACACTCGAACTCGAACCCGGCACCCCGCTTGACCAGACCTACACCTGCTACGGCTCCCTTCACACGCTATTTCTCGCCCTCGGATTAGCAGAAGATCACTTCGGCGAAGAAGGCGTGCTGGTGGTGCGGCCCGAGTACGAGCTGCTGAGAGAGCGGTTGATGAGTGGGGATTTGGAAAGGTTTGAAAGGGTGGTAGTCACGGGGCATCCGGGCATCGGTGCGTTCTACGCTCTTTGATGTATCTGTCGAGGGTGGAATATTGATGGTTTTGTATAGGTAAAACGATGTGCATGCTCTACATTCTCCTATACCGCCTTCATCGCAAACTGCCCACTGCAATCGAAGTCCGCTCCGGCGAGTTCACGATTTTCGACGGTCAAGGCTGCACTACATACACCAACCAAATATCTGCATCATCCGCTGCACACGAACGGTTGAAAGCGTGCTGGGCTCTGAGCGACAGCAACGCGCACGTAACTATACCGAGCATCTCATTCGTCAGTCGTGCTGCTCGTGTGGTGCAGTTCACATCTCCGGAGGAGAAGAGGTGGAAGGGGTGGAGTAAGGAGTGGGGAGCTGTGCTTGTTATTATGGATCTGCCGACGATGTTGGACATCGCGGCCGTAGCGTAAGCTCCGTCTCCTCTCATCTTCTTCGTATCATCCTTGCTGACTCGCAGTACGATATGTGCACAGACACGCGTACTCGCATTCCCCCACCGAAGCCCTCACCCTCGCCTCAGAATTCGGCCCATCCCTCCGTACACTCCAATCGCTGCTCGACGGCCATCTATACCTCGCCTCACTCCGCTCTCAAATTCAAGATCAAACACAACTCTTATGCTCAGACGCCCATCTAGCATCGTCCCTGTCCGGCTTCAACCTCATAGAACCCGACCACGAAAAAGTCGACGCGCTGGTCTATCTCCGGCCTCTGCGCAGGTGGCGCTCGGCTGGTCAAGAGCTGAGAACCGACGAGGGCCATATAGTGATACGGGCGGGAGAGGACGGGGTTCTTGTTGAGAAGCGCTGGATGGCTGAGTACTGTATCCCTTCGCACAGTCAACGCGAGAATGTGAAGGATGTGGAGCGTGGGTTATCGACTGGGACGTCGTCCCAACTCTCCAGGGCACTTGGCTCGCTTACTACTCATAATGTGGATGGACCATGGCCTTGAAAATTGGCCAATGGGCTAGACGTTGCGCCGTCGGGCTGTACTTGCTCAGGATGTACGAGCACGATCTCGACGATAACTATCGGATGGTGCCCTCGGCTTCTGAGCCGGGACCACGGGACCATCATGGTATGGACATACAATACGACCTTTGAAGGGCGTAGATGACAAGCCCAGTCTGCATACAGTCCAACAACATCTCCGTCGGTTCAGCACGCCGTCGCGAGAAACCTGTCGGAAAAGGGCACGAAAGTCTCAAGGACAAGGCGGCGTTAAGATACACACAGAAGCGACCGCAAAGCATATAAGTATGACCACTGACTATACGCATACGGTGGTCGGCGGCAACGGACGACGATCATGTCCCGACATTTCACGCTGCACGTTCCCGCGCCGCCGCCACCGCATCTCATTCCCGAACCACCACTGCACCTCCTACCATCCGATGCATTCACACCAGGTCCTGAACTCCTAATACCGGGGTATACATGCAGCGCACACGTCTTTCCCGCCGCATGGCCGCGCAGCACGCCGCGCGCGTCTCTACTGGAACACCTTGGAGAAAGCGCGGGCGAGAGCAAGAAAGAGCGCAAGACGCGCCTGGCCCGCGCCACGGAACACATTCTCTCAGCTAAAGCTGCATTCGAACGCGATTATCCTGACGCAGTAGACGCCGACAAACGTGTGCTCTGGTTCACCGCGACGCGCTGGGTGCGCACCTCGGGCGTGAGGACGGGGGACAAGACGCTGCTCTGCACCCACGGCAACGGTTTTCACGGAACGACATACACACCCATCATCCGGCGCCTGCTCGCGCGGCGCGACGACGTCGCCGAGGTCTGGGCGCTCGACGGCGTGCAGCACGGCGACGCCGCGCTCCTGAACGCCGGGCAGAATGGGATATATTTCGACTGGCACGACATGGCGCGCGATGTGCTCTGCTTCATACTGCATTTCTTGCCTTCGAAACCCACGTCCGCCCCGCTGCCTACAGTTCTGCCGCATGTATCCGACGGGTCGCGTCCAGTCATCGCGCTGGGCCACTCCTTCGCCGGCTGCTCCCTCGTCCTGGCGGCATACCGCCACCCCGAGCTCTTCGCGGCACTTATGCTCGTAGACGCGGTGGTCTTCCCGCCAGGGCTCGACCGCACAAGATCCCGCCCGCCCGGCTGGGTCGCCCCGGACGGCACAGTCTCAATTGGCGGCTACCTTTCCCTGCCGCTTTACATCACCAATGCTCTCGCTCGCCGTACACATTGGCATTCGCGAACCGCTGCGCACGAGGCGCTCGCAGCGCACCCGTTCTTCGGGTCCTGGGATAAGGACGTGCTGGATGTGTATGTGAAGCAGGCGTTGGTTGAGGAAAGGGAGGGAGGCGAAGTGCGGTTGAAGTGCGATAAGGAGCATGAGGCGGCTGTGTATGCTGACAAGCGCGCTTCGTGGGAGGCATGGGATGCTCTCCCCCGACTGGATGAGCGTGTAGCGTTGCTGTGGATAGACCCACCGGCAGGCGATAGGTAAGCATAGTGCCGCTGAGTACCAACGGCACCTTTCGTTGATCGTATCTGCAGTATCGTTCAGACGCGTACGATGGCGGCAGCACGCGTGCGTCGGCGGATCGTCAATAGCGCGTACGTCGTTATACAGGATGGCACGCATCTGGTATGCCACTACATCTTACTTGCGTCTATGTATCGTCTGCTGAACGATGCGTGCCCAGGCCGTACAAACTCATCCAGTCGAAGTTGGCACGTCTTCTTGCGCTCAACCCGTATTTTTTACGCGTGCTCAATAGTTTGTACACAGCCGAAGCCGTCGAGCTTTTCCTTGCCGCGCTGGATGCGGGCAAAATGGGAACCGCGCGCGGGTTGCTGTTACAGACGTCGGAAGATGTGTTGCGTGGCAGCTTGCCGTCACGGTCTAGGATGTAGAAGCTCTACTTTACAGCGCTTGTCATATGATACATGAGACTCGTCGCAAGAGTTTGCGATCCGATCTAGCGTGAGGGCTCGCGGAGTGGAGAATATCTGCCTGGAAAAGAGGCTTGATGGCCTTGGGGTCTTGAGAGAACTTCAGCAAAGGCGATGCGAAGGATCACAGTATAACATGTCGTCTACCATCGGTACCCGAACTCACCTCCGCGGTGGCACTTGCCGCGTCTTGTTTCCGTACCACCACCATTACCATGCTCACATGCCTGCTATCTCTCAATCCCAACATAACTTGGGATGGCCGAGTATTGTGTTCCTTCGGGGAGTCAACGCGCTAATGTGAAGGATCTGGCGCACGGGTTATCGATTGGGACGTTTTCCCAGCTCACGAGGGCACTTGACTTGCTTATTGCTCCCGGTGTAGATGGACCATGGCCTTGAAGCTTGATGCTTGACCGCTAGAGGTCTTACATGCCATGAAGGACGCCGTGACCTGGCCTTCATCGCTGACAGTCTATCCGGTGAACCGGCAGCGACGCTCTACGCTTCGCGCTTTCGAACTGTACTTGCAGGGAATGCACGGGCACAATCTCGACCACTGCAAGACTACGCGAATGGGATGATAGTCCGCTCGGGTGGCGTTTTTCTGCGACGTAGCAAGCGGATCATATGCTCGAGTACTTTGTGCAGCAGACATCCAATATAAGTGCTGAAGAGCGTATAAGTACGAAGACAGCATTCAGATTGACATCGAGTAAGTATCATCAACGGCGAGGATATGTTCGTCGGTTTGGCGTCGGAACTTACCGCGCCAATGATAGCCGGAAATCACCTGGAAAAGGGCATGAAAGTCTCAAAGACAAAGCGCTAAGCATACACGACATGAGTAGCTGATGATGATCCGCCTGCAAAGCATATATGATCGATGTCCATGACAGTCAGAGCCAACCCTCGCTCGACGACGATCATGCCGAAAACCCAACATCCCACACTGCACGCTCCCGCGCCACCTCCACCGCCTCTCACACCCTCACCACCACTACACCTCCTACCACCCACCACATTCACCCCTGGCCCTGAACTCTTAATTTCAGGATACACATGCAGCTTCCATGTCTTTCCCGCCGCCTGGCCGCGCAGTACACCGCTCGCATTCTTCCCGGCCGATCTACGCGAACGAGCGGATGAGAGCAGGGAGGAGCGCAAGACGCGTATAGCCCACGCCACGGAATATATTCTCGACGCAAAAGCGACATACGAACGTGACCACCCCGACGCATCAGACGACAACAAACGCGTGCTCTGGGTCACCGCCACGCGCTGGGTGCGCAACTCGAGCTTGGGCGTGCGCGCGACGGGCGACAAGAACAAAGACAAGACGCTGCTCTGCACGCACGCCAATGGCTTCCACGGGACAACATACATGCCCATCATCCAGCGCTTGCTCGCGCGGCGCGTCGACGTCGCCGAGGTCTGGGCGCTCGACGGCGTGCAGCACGGCGACGCCGCGCTCCTGAACGCCGGGCAGAACGGGATATATTTCGACTGGCACGATATGGCGCGCGATCTACTGTGCTTCATCCAGTATTATCTGCCTTCGGATTATACGTCCGATGCGATGTCTACGGTGCTGCCGCGTATAGACGGTGGATCGCGCAGAGTTCATGCGCTGGGCCACTCGTTCGGCGGCTGCTCCCTCGTACTGGCAGCGCACCACCACCCAGAACTCTTCGCGGCACTCATGCTCGTAGACGCAGTGATCGTCCCTCCACAGCTCGACCGCGCCATCTCGCGCCCGCCCGGCTGGGTCGCACCAGACGGTACAGTCTCAACGGGCGGCTACCCCTCTCTACCGCTCTACATCACCAACACCCTTGGCCGCCGCACACGCTGGCCCTCGCGAGTTGCAGCGCACGAAGCGCTCGCGGCGCACCCGTTCTTTGGGTCGTGGGATAAGGACGTGTTGGATGTGTATGTGACGCAGGCGTTGGTGGAGAGTAGGGAGGGCGGGGAGGTGCGGTTGAAGTGCGATAAGGAGGATGAGGCGGCGGTGTATGCTGAGAGGCGCGCTTCGTGGGAGGCGTGGGAGGTACTTCCTCGGTTGGATCGGAGGGTGGCGTTGTTGTGGATCGATCCTCCTGCTGGAGATAGGTGAGCGACTCTCTAGCGACTCACGATGCTCGCCGTTGACGTTGCAACTTTCCAGCGTCGTCCAAACGCGCTCTATCGCGGATGCGCGTGTGCAAAGGCGAACCGTCAATACTGCATGTGTCGTGATCCCGGAAGGAACGCATCTTGTAGGCAATTCTACCTTCTTCTACGCGTACTGTCTCTAACAACCTTTCGTCCAGGCGGTGCAAACCCACCCAAGCCAAGTCGGTACGTCTTGCACTTTCGGGCTTTCATCCTCCCAATACTGATTGTACATATATAGCCGAAGCCGTCAATACCTTCTTACATTCTGTCGACGCGGGTGCAGTTGGCGAGGTGCACGAGTTACAAGTGCAGGATACAGAAGGCGCCGTAGTACAGCATAGGTCGCGCCCTCGGCTTTAGCCGCGGTTGTATGTGGAAATCTAACATGGGTTCCCAGATCCGTCGCAGTGCTCTGGCGGTGCTCAATCTATGTCATTGATCTTTGACCCCTCTGCCTTCCAATCCAGACTGGCATGCGTCTCTGTACAACAGGGCGCACTGGGTCGGATGCTGTTCAAGCGTTAGCTTGTCCGAAGCGCCGATGCTGTGCTCGTGGGCGCTTTCCGGAAAGGCGCGAGCGCCCGATACATGAGGCGAAACTGAAATCGTTTACATCTCAGGTTACCGCAATACGCCGCTGTCTGTGTAGGTATGTGCACTACTCAGACCCTAACACGCGGGAATGTAAGAAAACCCAAACTATGGCGCCTAATTGCTGAGCGTGCACTGCCCCGCAACGTGTCTCCCACGTTGTCCCAAGTCTTCACAGTATATAACTTAGCTCTGGCGCGCGACACAGACTCCCCAGCTTGACTCGAGGCGCAGTCAGCGCCCAGTGTGCAATCCTGCTGTCTTCTATCACTCCGAGATTCAATAACGTTCAATCGGGGAAAGGATGGACTCGGCTAGCTCCGCTTATGATGATACAACGTTCCGACGTCGGTGAGTGTACATCGCATCAAGTTCATGCGTGTTGCGCTTTTACTTATGCTTTGCCAGGCGCAGGACTAATAGCAGGAGAGCTAGAACGAAGTTGAGATCGAGAGTAAGGTGACGGTGCATGTCTACACTTTCAAGCAGTCTGTTAACCGTCATGCGCTAGCGACATCCGGCAGGAGCCCTCCCACGCGCAAACTAGCGCCCGCCCAAGCCAAGATTTTACATCGTTCACGAGCAGTTATCCGTGAGCATCCTTAGTCATGGAACTATGACTGTACACTGAAAGCTGGGAGCCATAGACTCCCAAATACCGCCCCTTATTACGACTACGTACCCGCAACGCCTTATGATGTCAGATCCGAGCCCCCGGCTGTTGACGTTCCACCACGAGTGCCAGAAGAAGACGAAGAGCCCTATGAAGCGGACAGCGAGAGACGACTCGAACGTCCTCTCCGGAAATGGGAGCCTCTAGAGGTCTACTACGCGCTGAATCCGCGAGAAGCTCGACCCACGGGGACTTGGTCCGACGATGCTTTCGCGGGCTCGGCGTCTGACCTTGACGATCCGGACATAAGCAAACGCGGTCGCGATGTCTCCCACAGATACGAATCTCGCCGATCCTCGTTGGATCATTCGATGGTCAGACAGTGGGTCCTTGACATCCAACGGCGCACGGAGACACCTACAAGCGAAGATCGCGAGTGAGTGGAACCAAAGATTCGGAGCTTCTCTGCTCATGGTCGCGATTCCCAGGCCCCTTCCGACCTCTCAAGACGCTCTGTTCCCCGAACATAACACTCCTAACGATGGGGTCACGCCTGATAACGACGCCAACGGCCAGGTGGCTCGCGAGGATGGGCCTGATCATCCGCACGGGCCACTGGAGCAAGCGATGCTACATCAGGGTCAAGCGAGCGAATCCGACCTGTCATCGTCAGAGCTGGGCGAAGACGTGGATCGCAGGTGAGTTGCGGTACATTGTATCAGCTCTACACGTTCACTCGTTCATCCCCTCACCGTCAATCGTTTCCAGACTTCCCGTGGCTCCCGATTTCGGCACTGTGATCAAAGGCTATTCGCTTTCTTCCGACGAGGACACGCCTGAGGACGATGGTAGCTCACTACGGAGCCAGCATGAGCTTGATTGGTTATTTGTGTCACCGAAGCCAGCTGTGGTAGATCGCGGTTGCATCCGCAGGCCGTCCGATGTGATCATCTCCAGCGAACTTCCAACCGTGCTGTTACAAGGCTCCACCCGCCGCGCGACTTCGCTGGCCACGGGCATCTTCGCATCTGTCACCTATTACCACGAGCTATGTGCGGCCCAAACAGACGCGGTGCTAGAGACGGTGCAAGCGCGGCTCAGGTCGGAGTGGCAGTTCGCTATGGCTACGGTGGGTGCTTCGAGCCTCTCGCGATGATGCATGCGATTGAACCCCGACGATTATAGCTGCTAGCTCTCACAGCGTACGCATATGGAGGTGTAATGTCAGAGGAGAAGATTCACTGATGCGAGCACAGTGTCGATGCGACTGTGTTTGGGTTTTCACCCGGTGGAACCCTCTTCGCTGTCAATAGAGCTGCCAGTTACTGCCTCACGCTGTCGTCTATATCAACGGCAATGGGGCTCACACAGGCAACCTTCCTGCTGATAACGCACTTCAAAGCCGACGTTCACAAGTTCAAAGTCGGTCCTTTGATCTCTATCCTTTCCCAGATGCTGGTATTGATGAAGAGAGCAGAAACTCGCGCTGGGCGTATACTCGAACTACGCCTTCTTCGCCGTCACCTCGCGCCTGCCGTTTCTGTCGGTTCTTGTCTCTGTCACGTCCCTCTCGGCTTTCCTGCTTGCTGTCGCGTTTATGATGTGGCCGAAGACGGCGATCATCTTTAGCGCGGTGGGAGTGTTGCTTGCTGGTCTGCAATACTTCGTGAAGGTACTGGAAACATTCATTCGTGGATTAATAGGCTTTGTATGTTTTGTATGGCGGACGGCGTCGAGATCGATTGCGTGGTCCTCAAGCTTACACATGCCTTTTGGGTCACATTCTCGAAGACGCGGCGTGGAACCGGCACAAGTAATGGCAGAGACACCGCCGTCGCACAGGGACAATGCGCCAGAAACATAATTAGTCGAGATGGGGGCCTGTCTTGTTATTCTATGTTACAGATACCACTTTCATCTGCTGTATGCCAATTTACAGCGCCGGATTGTCCAACGAGGTTCATTGCCCCCAGCTCCGTACAGAGAGTTACTGAAGGGACTCCGCGATAATGGCAGGTTCCATCAGGCCTGAGAGGAACGCTGCATTTCGTCAACAGGACGCGAAGAAGACGAGCGCACACAAGGAGCGGAGCAGGAAAGACCGCTCTCACCGTGAGGACTCAAAGTGCGACGTCGAGATGAAGCTTCGCGAGTGAGAGACCGTGATTGTTGATTAGCACGTGGTCCCTGTCAAGATCCTATGGAGAGTGCATGAGCATGGCACGTTAAACTGGGGTAGACCGGCGGCTTACCAGTATAAATGGTTTTGCATTTATCGTGCAAGAAAGCGAGCGCCTCGAGAACTTGACATGTTACGGTCCGCACTGGACGCGCTCCATGTCAGGCCCGTGAGGAGGGCAGTGGCGAAGTAGAGATGATTGCCGTGCTCGTCTTGAAGGACGGACACGTCGAGCAGTTCGAGAATACTTTTGGCCCCGGAATGATTTGGCGCACGTTCGGTGAAGTACTTGAAGAACCATCGCCCTTCCCAGCAACAACGTCGAGCAACGCGATTGGACCGGAGAGACTAAGTGCGGGGTACCGCGACGTCTTCCAGTCGGTCTCTCCGTCCAATTGATCTGAGCGCGCGCAACATGGTCCGCTCAAGTCGCGGGTACGGAAGAGGGGCATGTCGGCCGGAACGCCCGCATTCTTCTCCAGCACGAGCAGATCGCCCAGTCGTACAGCTGAGGGGGATACGATGCGTATCGGGTGCTCGTAGTCCAGTCCCGGCTCGGCGTCGAATAACGTCTCGTGCTCGTCGTTGGCGTCATGACCGCCCCCACCACATGCGGCGCGACATAGGTGGCAATAAACCCGAACTTGAGCGCGGGCACGAATTGGGAGAGCGCGACCAATAGGAAATAGAGGTTCAAGAAGAACTTCAACATTCCTGCCGGTGGTCCTGTACGAGCAGTTCGAGTCGTGTATTGTTGGTTGCGGACTACGTTGGGCGCGCAGGGCGTTGGTGTGCCGGGGGCGAATGTGCGTGCGCCTTTGGATTTCTTGGAGGAGGAGGAGGAGGGGGAGCGCGATATGGGCCCGATCTCGATGCGCTCTTCTGTTGCTTCTTCGTCGGCCAGTAAGCGCGCGCCCTCGTCGTGCTCGTCGTCGCGCGAGTAGCGCCGTTTCATGTTGCCCAACATGCGTGAGGCCCGGGACGTAGAGTTGGAGTGTGAGCGAGAGTTCGAGCCTGCTCGAGGGCGAGAGTCTGGATTGTCTGCGAGGGGAGCGTAGTCGCTTGCGCGGTGTTTGTTGCGCAGAAGCGACAGGCGGATGTCCGTCATAGGCTTAGGATGCCCATCGACTGACTCTGACAGTTGTGGCGAAAGAGAACGCCGGATTCGAACTGCTTGACGCGCGCGTCGTGTCTTCTCACGGCATGGGAGGCGCGGCTCGCGGCTTGCTCTCGGACCACCACCTCGAGTTCTGTTCTCAACTGAATATAGCACTTTAAGACCGTCGAATACGGACTAGGCAGTGGTCTCATCGAGGATAAGTAATTTGCAAAGGCATCATGATTGTGGGTGCCGGCCGCGCGGTGGGCACAAACAAATATATCTGAGAACGAGCGTATCTTACGGCTTACATGCCGCGTAGCGCTCATATAGTGTGAGCAATATATCAGCTCATCCGCTTCGACACTACCTTCTGGGCCGCCATCGACTGCCATACCTGTGCAGAGCGCTTGCTTTGCGTTCTATGTTCATTGATACAACAGTACTGCAATTCTTCCGCCTCATGGACTTCGCATTGCAGCGGGTCTGTGCACCCAAGCGCATCGCCCTCTCGCCGCATATTTGTCCGCGATCGCAGGACGGACACGCCCTCATCCACCTCTCTTTTGCGTACGACGATCTCTGTGGCCGTTCCGCACTCAGGGTCTTCGTTGAGAGCCATCTCTTAGAACCCACAGGGCGCTATCCAACAACATGAGTCTCATCCCGCCGTCCGCGCAAGTCAGCGAGGATTCTCTCCGCGCTCCCGAACCAACTACGCGAGATCCGACACCCCCCAAAACGGCGCGCGAGCGCTTCGCCTCCCTCCTCCGAGGCATCCGCATACGCAGGCCGCGTGTTGAACCCCCGCCCGTCGCATCCACCCCAGTGCAGCGGGGGCGTCCCACCACCCCTCCAATCGCCACGCACCGCCCCAGCCGTTCGCATACCGCCTCTCCGGTCCCGCCACAGTCTCTCGGTCACATGACAGTCGTCAATCCTTCGGTACCGAGTGTGAACGTGAGCGGAAGCGCCTGGTCCGTCAGTGACCTGACGCGACCTCGACGGGGCCGCTCGGAGGATGAGGACAAAGTAATGCACGGGGCTGGGGCACGTCTCCCTACCCCCAGTGTTGTGCTCGACCCAGTTGGCTCGCCCTCTGACTCTCTGCTGTTATTGCCCCCGTTGCCACCGTCTGATGTCTCCATTGGATCCATCAATCCTTTCTCCGATCCATTCTCCGAGCAGAGTGTGAGGACCAGTTCCTTGTCCTCGGCCGATACAAGATATCACCAACGGCGGAGCCGCGACGACGTGGACATCTCCGACACGGAGTCAATCCTCAGCAGCGATAGTCTCTCGCATCGTGCACAAAGAGGGGGCCTTAACCACCAAGTCGACGACAAGAGTGTGCGTGGTCACTATGCTGACGTCATGAATGTCCCGCTTAGTAGAGTCGGCGGCAATGGCGCGTCCGAAGAGCTGGTCCTCCGGCGGTGAGCATCGAACGATATTCTTTGCTGAAAGCCCTCTAACCGACACCTCTACGCCAGCGAGGCGCCCGGAGGCAGACTTCAACTTCTGCGCCGAAGGCGCTTCTTCCCCGTGACGGATGCAGATGCCATCGATCGAGAGACGGCCGTGCTCGACGATGACCCTCACAAGGCGGCGTTGTATGGAGCCCCTCATGATCACGCACCTCGGATCGGCCGTTCCCTGAGTGTATACTCGCAACCATATTACGACATTGTCGCACCCAGCGAGCTACCCAGAGTCCATATCAAGACATACGCACGAGCCATCTCGACCAAGTCATTCGGCGTCTTCGGATCGTATCTCACCCACTACCGTGATTTGTGTGCCGCGGAAACGGACACGGACTTCGAACTAGTACAGGCTCGTCCCGAACGGGAGTGGCAACTCTCATTGACCGTTGTAAGCATCCATATACCGCGTCACGCAACAGTTCGTAGAAACTGATAGCGACTTTGTGCGTAGTTGTTAGCTGTTGTAGCGTAAGTTCACATGTGAAGGCCAAATATGCGCGCTTCTGACAGTCCTGACAGGGTTGATGCCACTGTTTTTGGTTTTGCTTCCACTGGTACTTTGTTTACGACGAACACGATTGCGCGTCGGTGCATAGCGTCATCAGCTATTGCTGGCTCGTTGGGTCTCATCCAAGTCGCAGTGCTTGCTCTTTTTCTACCTTGGCGCGGACGCGGGGAAGTTCCAGGCGAGTCGCGGATCTACGCTATAACTCACACATACACACCGTCTAACGCATACCGCTACATCCAGAAGCTGGCATTGGACATCTACGCCGACTACATCTTCTTCTCGATAACGTCTCGGCTGCCGCTCTTCGCAGTCGTTCTCTCTCTGGCCACATTATCTTTCTTCCTGCTCGCCACGGTATTCAAAGCGTGGCCCAAGGCGGTCATCATAGCTTGCGCTTGCGCGATGGCTCTGATCTGTTTGCAGTACATCGTGAAGGCCATCGAACTGGCCGTGCGCTCTTTCATGTCGGTTACACGCTTTGTGCTTGTGCACATGCTAGTTGTCGGTAACCTATTTTGTGCGATGCGCCCTTTTCAAGTTGGCCGGCATCAGCCTCCCATCTTCGAGCTTGCATCAGTTCCGTCACCAGAGAGCCAGCATGATAACACCGCTCCGTACAGTCTATGAGATTGCTTGTTGTTCCGGTCTTGAGAACGGAAGCTGGACCCTCTGACAACTAGCTCTTCGGAAAGCCATCGACCGATCTTCGGACATGGATACACTATTGAGGCTGCGAGAGGATCAGATGTTTAGACTGGATGATGAGCGAACGGAAGCTCACTCGTACGCAGTTGTATCATGAGCCCATAGCGCACGATACATGCGCGTCGCCCCGATGATGAGGATGATCAGTTCGGGCGTGAAGAATATCTACGAAGTCCACAGTCATTCATCCGTTCGCATGTCTCAAGAGGTAGAAGCCTTACAACGTTCATAACTTCTGTATCACCAAGGACAATGGGACTTAGCCTTATTGCATGTGTCCGTATCAAGACGCTACGCACGATTGAGATTGAGCCAGATGAAAACCACTGACGGAAGCTCAGCGAGAGTGGCCAACGAGAGCCACATGATACCCTGAGACGACGAATATCGGTCAGCGCCTTCTGGTTTATTGCACTGATGCATGCGCACCTGTCGCCAAAGAACATCCCATATCCCACGTTTCCTCCGCGCATCCTTCCATCTGAGCAGGCCGAATAGCATGGAGACAAGTAGGAAGGTGTCTGTGACGAATGTGGCGGTCACGTTCAGCCGATTCGTCTCTGTGTTGAGAAAAATACAGGTCTCGTTGGCCGGGCTCTCCGTGGCATCGGCCTGCATCAGGTGTCAGACAAGAGGTACATGGACAGAGATACCCCAACGTACTCGCGACACCTCTGATCGTATGACTATCTGAGCACAGGAACAAGGGTGACTTTGTGGGGGACGTACCATAAACGAAACTGGCCAGTTGCGCGGTAAGAACCAAGGCAAACGCCACAATCACGCTTTTGCGTCTGTTGAAGATGGCAATACTGGCCGAACTTCATGAGCATGAGTCTGCAAAGTGATCGTAGACTGTACATACGCTCGTATGGCAATAAGCGTGGAAGCCGAAGTGACAGCTGCAAACGATAAAGCCTGGGGTTGGCCGTTCAGTCCTCAGCTCGATGAGAAAGGTGAGATCACTGACCAAAGTGCAGATCATCCACGCCTGCGATATAGGTGCATCAGAGTCAAGCAGCACAACAGGAGGCATTTGGAACAGACTTTACAGTCAATCTGTAGATCGGGATCAGTACGCCCTCCTACTTCGCAGCATAGACCGTGGACGGTCACCTTCAATCTCGAGGTGGGGGTGGATCCAATTGCAATTGAAGTCAATGCTGCCAGCGTCAAGTATCTGCATGATAGATACACCTTGACACGAAGTCCGTGAAGCATGATAAGAGAGTGAACAGCACATACTCACCAGCCGGGCATACAATGAGCTGGCACTTTCCAATCGCTTGGTAGTCACCAGAGCGAGATCGAACTCCAAGCTGTTCACTAGCTCCCACAGAAAAATCCCGTAGAGAGCGTGTTGTATTTTGGAGAAGCCATCTAGCTGTACGTCAGCGCACGCACCAGAAATCGTCAAACACGACGTACAGTATTGAGCATCAAGTGTTCGTTGATCATTCCAGTCGAAGGTCATGATGGGTGCGGGGTTAGAGCAGGAGTGGACATCAGCAAGAGCATCGAAGTTGAATGGGTCCTTCTTGTAGCCTCCGATCGCCGACAAGCTCGTGGTGAAACATACGGGTCATAGTAAGCGCAAGACACACAATCGATTTCAACTTCTTCGGCGTTGCAGTTTCGCTCGGGCTTCTAGCCGCCAAGATCGCATCTGCTGCATGGCATTCTTTCAAGCTTTCGATCAAGATCTCCGGCCATATCAGGAATGATGCTCGGGGACCCCAAAGGGTTTCTCGGGCACATCAATAAACGTGTCTCGATGCAGCAGAAGAGTTCACGCTTTATGGCCCAAGGGACACAACTTGAACTGTGGCACTTGCGACGAAGAGAGAGCCTAGACCCCACGCCCACTAGCCCAACGCAGGCAAGGACGGGTGTGATTGCAGAGGTTGTGATGGTCGGAAGCTGGGGACTCGGACGCTTGAGACCGCCCTACCTATACGTTCCCACGTTCGACTCCTCCCGCGCGTTGCAATGATCGGACGCAACGCCCACCTGGCAGTAGCTAACCTCATGGCACGGTCATATTTTCATGCGAATACCATTTACAAAAGGTACCTGTACATAGAACTATGCATTCACTGCACATTGAACAGAGAGCTATCGGTTCTCATGACGTCAATCACCAGCTCTGGCGCGCGGACGCACAGACGCCTTAATACGTTCCACAACATCAGGCGGCAAGCCAGAGCTATCCAGAGAGTCCCTGAGCTCGGCGATCTGCTCTGCCATCGGCTGGCTACTGGCAAACCGCTCCCGCAGTGTCCTGTCCATATACCGCAAGACGGGATCGTCTGCCTGCGCCGCGCGTAGCGCGCGTTGCATCTTCGCGCGTTTATCGCCGTGGTGGCTCGCGATGTGGGCCAGCTCGCCTCCGGCTTTGTAGTCCGCGTACCACCGGTCAATTTCGTTACGATCTATCGGTGCGCATATGTTTCTCATCTGTACATTATTAGACAGCATTACGGCAAGAGCCGTGGTGAAGAAGACGGAGATGTTGTTGATCAGATCCCATGCTTCAAAGTCGAGCGTGCGGTCGATGCTGCCGAGGCGGTACTGGAGGTGGAAGCATGCGTGCTCGGTGGGTTTCAGAAAGACTATACATCTCTTCTCGTTGCGTAGAGCGTCATGTTTCTTCTTCTGTGGCGTTGGTTAGACGGGCGGTCATGCATCATGAGGGCTGAATGTCGACTTGCGAACCTGATCAACTCGTTTGCCATTGAAGTACGCCAGTTTGTAGTGACACGGTCGTTGCCCGGGAGTTGGAGTACTGTGACATGACAAGGTGAGGAGATCTCTGGATGCAACGGATCTGGCACCGTACCCTGATACTGTTTGCGAATCGACAACCCTCTCGATGTCTATTTCACATTCGCCCTCGTCCCAAGCACCATCGTAGAACTCTTGGATCTGCGTGTGGTTGATGGCCGCAGTGATTTCGTCTCCGAAGACACATATCGGCTCCTTCATCCTGTTCTGTACGAGTACACGTACACCGAGAAAGTAGCGCGGTCCTGGCATGAACTCCTGTATCTTGCGCGTAAAGTCGGGGTCGAACCTAGAAGCAGGCTCGCCATTGGTGCGGCTTTCCCCCATAAGATCTTCCAAGCCCGGTGACTTAGCCAACCTGATCATCGAGTTGAGTTACACTAATTGAAGTGTCGACAAAGAATAATGTGTCCACTCACTGGCAATTGATCATCCCTCCAGGCGCCACCCAATACCCTACACCATCTTTGTGGCCCTTTGCGAAGATCGGTGACGTAGAGAACTTGCAACCAGGGTGTATTAGGGTAGGATCGAAGTCGCGACAGATCGGCAGACGCTCGAAGGATAGGCACGACTTCTTGTGTGCTTTCCAGTCGGCCTTCTGACATTCAGAGGAGCAATAACGTGCTGCACTGTAATGGAGCGTCAGATTTTTCATTCTCTCTATAGAAGACAGTTGCGCACTGGCACTGCGAACACGCCCGAAGAGCTCCAGATGGGCTCTCTTCGCGATCGCAAGTCGGGTTCGAGCATGTCACTTTCTTCTCGCGTGTCTTTGCTTGAGCATCCTTGTTGTGCGATCGTATTGAAGCTAGGCCACGCATGCTATCTTTCATGAAGGCATCAAGATCCAAGGTCGATCGATGGTGGGCGGCCTCATTGGCGATCTCATTGGCGATCTTTTCGTGAAGAGACATCGAATGGCGAGAGCGGGGTCGGAATTGGAAGTGAGGCGGGAGATGCTACGAGTGGCAGGACGCAGAGATGGGCTAATCTGCAGTTAGATGATCAGTGACACGAGGATTAGAAGTTGAACGGGTGTCTCACCAGACCTGCCAGCACTTCGACGTCTTATTCTCACTGTGATAGCAGTCTATGCGTTCTTCCAACGCTCAAGCAGACGCTCCGCTGTGTTCAATCTCATGCACTTCGGTGCGCTATAGTTGTCTCGGAATGATGATAACGATGTAGCTGATAAGGCCATGGTGGTCACAAGCAAACCGACGCGAGACCGACGCCTGCTGGCAGTGCGCCGCCGCGCCGCTCACACGTTTCAGTTGTCGCCGGTGCAGCCGTCGCATGTTGTTCCGGACCACCGCCGTCGAAGAGACCCACGGTGCTACAGGAAGGCCGTTACAAATACAATGATTCTATGTACACTGGCCGAGCGAATACTGGGCTCTTCTGTATCTCAAGCGATATGTGCCATCTTCTTGAAGCCTTCGACAACATCTGGAGGTATATCGGAGCGGCCATCCAGGAAGGTTTTGTATTCGGCCTTGTACTCCTCGAACGACTTACCACTGTTCATCATGTCGCTGAATCCCTTCTGCAGAAGTTTGGAGATTGGATGATCGTCTCGCGCCGCATGTAAACCCTTGATCATCTTCGCGCGCTCCTCGCCGTAGTGGCTGGCGATGAACGCTATCTGACCTTTGGTCCTGTAGTCCGCGTACCAGCGGCGAACCTCCTTCTGGTCTACTCCCGCTCGGATATAAGTCCTCTCAGACTGTTGCCCGCGGACGTAGTCCTTTCCGCCGAAGAAGGGGCGATGCACAACGAATGTGATGTTGTCGAGAAGATCCCATGCTAGGAACTCCAGCGTACGGTCGGGATTCCCGAGGCGATACTGGACATTGAAGCATACGTGCTCTGTAGGCTTCAATGCAACTGTACACTGGGACTCATCCATGATCGACCCGTGCTTCTTGACCTTGACACGTCTGTCAATGAATGCGCCGGGGTACTCTACGTACCATTGGCACATACCTTGCTATCGACACCCTTGCCGTTGATGTGCGTTATGTTGCAGTAGCATGGGCGCTGCCCGGTGGTCTCCGCACTGTGTCAGGGTCAGTGGTGCCATGCACTGCCAAAGGCGAGGGTATCAAGCGCACCCGGTAGTATCCTTAGCGAAGACATTCTTCTCGTATTCCGGGTTGGATGACGTACCCTCGTAGAAGTCATCCAGCTTCGCCTTCGATACGACCGCAATGAGATCCAGACCAGTCACGAAGACTGCCTCCTTTGACCTGTTCTGCACAAGCACGCGTATATCGAGGATGTCGCCCGGTCCAGGCATAACTTGCATCATCTTGCGGATGTCCTCTGGCCGCGGTCCGGTATATCCGCTCTCGTGTGCTCTGAACGGTTTGTCGTCGACCTCATCCGGACCAGCAAACTTGGCCAACCTACATACGCGCTCAAGTTTACATCGAGAGAAACTATCGTGGTGACGTCACTCACTCGCCAGTGATCTGCCCTCCTGGTGCCACCCAGCAACCAAATCCATCCTTATGAGCCGAAGCGAATACTGGACTCTGAGGGTACTGACATCCCGGAAGAACAAGAGTGGGATCGAAATCACGGTAGAGAGGTAGATCAGAGAACGATGAGCACGACTTCTTGTGTGCTTTCCAGTGGGCCTTCTGACAGGCCGATGAACAGTAGCGTATCGAACTAGAACACCAGTCAGTCTGAGCGGACCTACACATGCCAGTAGCCAATGTATATATGACGCACTGGCACTTAGAGCACGCTTTCAAGGGTGTAGAGGAGGTGTCCTCATGATCGCAACCAGGATTGCCACACGTCGTCTTCTTCTCGCGGGCATTGTCTCGGACACTCTTGTTCTGTTCCCGCATGGCGGCGATGCCGCGATCGCTGTCATGTTTCAGAGCGTCGAGGTCAATCGTCGGGCGCGCAAACAAGATATCATCTTCTGGCAGAGACATGACTGAAGGAGACGAGCCGGGGAAAGTCTGCGACAACAGTCGGAGCATGCACGTTTCAGCTAGAGTACAGGCGATCCGGTGATGGTAGATGAGACGACGCCACGATATACTACGTCGGGTTGGTATAAGTGACGAGTAGAACAAAGGGCATCGACTAGAGCATATTGGGCCTAGTACGGGTACCACATGCGTGCTGCTCTTCTGATGGTTTTTGGATGGTTCTCTTCGGCAAATGCCGTCACAGGCTCATGAGACGTCGGGGTCTCAGGTCGGGAGGTGTTGCTTCAAAGCTATATCATAGGGCCATGACTCATGACAAAACACTACTTCGACATCAGATTCAACTATGGCGTGGAGAAGAGGCAAGCCTATCGCCCCGAACTCGATCATGAAAGCGCCTGCATATTCGTTCTCACGCTCAAGTCTTCCCGCGCGTCGGCAGTAGCACACGACCAAGATGTCTTTGCCTACCGATAGTATGGCAAATATGGCAGATTGAGGAGGGGAAACATCGCAGTACATCTATATTTCTCTTTCTCCCAAAGAACGGAGCAAGAGAACTCACGCCAGAGCGACTTCTTGAAGCCCGGCCCGATCGCTATTATCTGCCATCGACCGAACCCATAGACTGGCAGGACACGTCAGGCGACCTGCATACCTTCCACTACAGACTCGTGCACTACCGGCTGGATGAGCTCAATGATCGTCGCATCTCTTCCGCGCATTATAGGAAGCTACGTCGGAAGATTGCGCTCGAGCCCAAGCGTACTGCTGAACAAGCAAGAACAGTGAGCACAGTGAACGCGGCTGGCCAGCAGACTACTGAACGCACATGTATGCAGCCGGATCATAGGACCAAAGTATGCGATACATCCGCGTCGCTGCGACTACGACAATGATCATCTCGGGCGTGAAGAATATCTGAGCGAAATTCCATCAACAAGAGCCAACGCGTGGGACGATCACGCCTGAAGAACTCACTACGTCCATAGCCTCTATCAACGTTGATATGAAATTGGTCATAGGTTTCAAGGGACAGGATGATGTGTAGCGTACGGTTGAGGTTTAGCCATAGTAAGACGACGGTTGGGATTTCAGCTAGTGTCGCCACGGCAAGCCAAATGAGACCCTGAATGTTGAGTGAGTTTCCGACTGTACGCGCTAATGGATATGAATCGATCATACTTGCTGCCAAAGCAAAGACCATAACCCGCGGCCACAGCTTGCATCTCTCCATCTCCATAAACCCACGAGCATCGAAATCAAGAGGAACATGTCTACCGCGAGCGTCACCGTGACTGTCGGTCGATTTGTTTGAGCAGACAGAACGAGACAGGTCACGTTAGTTGGGTCCCACTTGGCTTCTTCCTGAGAGCGCATCAGAGACAGCACAGATAGTAACGCAACCATAGTTACCCGTACGATCTCTGGACTGCGTATCACGAAATCGAATCGGAGTCCGTACCGGTATCAACGACGTACCGCGAATATAATAACCTAGTTGAAGCGCCAGTCCTGCGACGCACAGGGCAGTCATGACTCTATGTCTGTTCCATATGGTGATACTAAGCATCATTGATGAGTATGTCTCCACCGTTGACGCACACACCCACTCACACTCGAATCGCAATCAGGATGGAGGCCAATTCGAAGATCAGATAAGAGAACGTCTATCGACACAATGTGCGCGTCAGGATATCAACGAGGATAGAGCGAGTAGTTGCCTTTGGACGTACCATGGTCGCACGCATCCAAACCTTGACAACACATCATCGTCAGCATCACGGTGAACTGTCTGCGCACAGAGAAGAGAACGGACCTCGCAGTTGACCTTCACTCGAGTTATTCGAAGTCCACCGTCTCCACGCACGCCAAACGTATACACGCACCTGGGAGGATTTCGTGGCACCAAAGCCAGCGTCGGCAGATATCACAGAAGCTAGCGTCAGGTAGCGACATGCCAGGTATACCTAATCAATAGTCAGACCACGGTTGGGCGCGAGGAGGGCTTCAGACGTACCGATTTAGTGAAGAGAGCTGATACTGTCTGCTTTTTGCCCTCCGTGCCTTCCCTCTTCACTACGTGCCAATCGAAGGGTATGCCATTGACCACTTCCCAGAGATAGAACCCAGTGGCAACAGTATAGTGCGATTTGAGGAAGGCAACTGAGCGTACGATTCCTCAGTTTAGTAACTGTGCGCACTAGTTTGGCGGTGGCACCAGACGTACGGTACTGTTCAGCAAGTGTGGTTGGGTCATTCCAGTCGATGGCCATTGCGTGGGGAGGTATGAGTAGATGGCACTGATCTTCTACAACATGTCGAGGTTATATACCCAAGTGATTCGCGCCTCGTCCGGTGATACACCGGCGGCGGGGCCCTGCAGCGCCTCCGAGACGCTGTCGACTGACCTACGCCACCAGCTCCAATTCGTGATCACTGGGTGGGGACAATACCCGCTTTCGCAAAATCAGTTGCCTGGATAGGTCATGGTCTTCACCTATGCACCAGGGTCTGCAGCGCCTCAATCACGATATGCTACACTGTCTGTCATGTTACTAAACGGTATCATCGCTCCCCGTGTACCACTTTGCTATAGTGGTCGCCTGGAGAAACTCAGCAGAGTCATGGCGACATATATGGCGACAAGCGGCGCTGTAGTTGTGAAACGATCACTCCCGAAACCTGATACTGATTCGTGAGTATGGAGTGACGTACGGTGTATCTCACTCACTTGTAGCCGACATCGAAAATGGCGCACAAGGCCTTGACTTCAAACATGTGGACCTCAATCTTTACAGAGTTCGGCGTGCTTACTGTGATATCCTTCGTTCGAATCAGAGCAGGAGAGATGAACAAAGGGAAGAAACTCTTCCGGTCTCTCGAGGGTAAGCGCTTCATGAAAATGAATGATAGCGCAGGTACAAGAAGGTTGGAGAGGAGATTGAAGCTAGTGTACATGCATGGTGGTGCAATATTGGCCGACAGGAGATATCGAGCGTACCTACACACCCTTCACCTACTCATCATCGTCATCTGAGTCTACCTGTTTCTTCTTCTTGATCTTCTTCTTCGGCTTCTCGTCCACCTCGCTCTCCTCGGCGCTCTCTTCCTCATCGCTTTCCTCGGCGCTCTCCTCCTCGGACTCCTCCTTCTTGCTCTTCTTCGAGGACGACGCTTTCTTCGCGGCGGGTTTTGCGGCGGGCTTCTTCGTTTTCTTCTTTGGTCGCTCTTCCTCCTCGTCATCGTCATCGTCGTCGTCGCCTGGAATAGGCGCGACCTTGGTGTAGTCGACACGGTTGCCGCGCGTCCGACGGCCGCTGGTCACGATCTCAGCAGCTTCCTCCTTCAAGAATGCGAGCTCATCTGCCCGAGCGTCAGATAAAATACAAGACCAACTGATCAAAAGACATACCATCATCGATCGCCTCTCCCTCCGAAGACTCGACGTCAGAATCCTTCTTGGACCTGCGATACGCGAGCCTTCAACAAGCGCGTTCGACGAGAACGCGAGATAGCGAATTACTTCTTCGACTTCTTGCGTTTTTCGGGAGACTCGGCGCGCCGCTTTGTTCTCGAGGACATGACGCGTATAGGAAAGCGAGTGGAGAGGTGGCTGGTGGTGGCGGGAGAGAAGGTGGGGCCAACGGCGTCTCTGCGGCACACTGAAAGTTGAACCTTGCTTCCCACCATGATCATCGTCTGAGTGCGCGCGGCCAACGGCGAAAGACCGAGATTGATCTTGATTCTTGCGTGCTCTGAGAGTACTCTAGCACGCTATCCGTGTTCTGCTAGGCCGTTTGAGTATCGCCTGTGGTATATGTGATCTCTCTGCGCTCTCGTGAACGACGACCGGCACGTCCACGACGCGATAGCATGACCGAGGTTTCTTCTTGTTATTTTTCTCCTTGTTCTCGAACGGTCGGCGCGCAATTGTACCGAAACAATCCATCGTTACAACATCAGCATGCCGTTGCTAACATAGGAGTATCATCGCCTCTGAACTTTGCATCGGGATAACGTGCTCGGCGACGTCCTGTCCTTCCCTCACGCCCGGGCCGTGTTCTGACCCAAAGCAGACACCTCTTTGTATCCTCCACTCCGTTCCCTGCCCAACCTAATCTCACTCTTAGCACCCTAGACCTCGCCCGCCTTCCTTTCCCAGCGCACGGCGCTCACACCTCCCGAGAAGGTGCCCGGAGCCGCATGTACGGCTGCACCAAACACAACACCGCCTCTTATGGCCATTGTTCTTGTAGCCACGATGTTCGCGCGTTCATCATACTCTTCTACTCTTCTTGAGCGACCACAGCTCCCGAGGACAAAGAAGAGTGGAGAAGGGGAACAAGGCGTGTCGCGTGGACAAGGCCTCTTTGCCTGCATGGTCGTTATGAACGGCGTCTTCATCGGGACGTTCTCGCTCGCGGCGTTCTTCATGTATGCTTCCTTGTACACCCCTGTATCACTCCGGGGAGAAGAGGGTGAGCTGCATCTGGCTTCTCCTCCTCCTGCAAACCGTGTTCGGGGCCCGTAGATCAAACATGAGCGGTCACCTCTGGAGACCGTGTGTGCGAGACTCAGCTTTCGTATCAGATAGGGCGCTGACTTCTCCGAGCGAAGCAAGGATCCTCGGATACGAAGCCGTATGTGTCGACGATCTTTACCGCTCTGTGATACATGATCTGATACGCAGAAGCAGAAACCTGCCAAACGTCGGCCATACTACATAAGTCTGATCGACGAACTCCTCTTGGCTCGGATGGGTGACCAGAGGCATCAGAAGCTCATATGCGTACTCCTTAGTCAAAGTCTCAACCGCCCTGGCACGGATGTCAATGGTTCTTAGAACGCGACTGCCACTCAACAACGATATCTCCAGTTGCATTACAGATCTGTCTGAGATAATCTTGCGTTTATATTTTATTAAAACTGTCATACCCCCAGGGCACATGGTGTAGTTGGTTTATCACGCTCGCTTAGCATGCGAGAGGTGTCCGGTTCAATTCCGGATGTGTCCATTCGATCTCCCAAGTTAAATAGACTTTTTTCTGCTCCGGGCGCGAAACGGTCCATTTTATTGCTCCCTCTCATCCACCACCCAAGTCAGAGCGTTATATAGAACCCCAGCTCAGATTCATCAGGACTGCCTGGCAATGCGACAAGTACGTGCATTCTAGTGTATTACTAACATACGATGACGGCGCGACAGACCGACGGGAGGTGACAAGCAAGCGCATATGAGTGATTGAGCGTACAACATACAATGCATGGTAGGTATAACATGAGGAGTGATGAGATGAGTAGTAGAAGATGAAAAACATGCGACAGCAAACGACGACGACAAGTGATACAAAAACAAGAAAGAGCCGAGGACTACATCTTCACAGAACCGACGAGCGAGCCGAGCAATTCAACGCTGTTCCTCCTCCGCCAACATACTCCCAACAGCCATCCGTCCCCCCGGCCCACCCGAATTCCTCCGTTCCCTCTCTTCCGCCCTCCCATACCTCTCGTCCGTCCTCGGACTCCTCGTCTGCCCCGGCTGACCCGGCTGCGGCGGATACTCGTACTGCCTCGGCGCATATGTATCGCGCGGAGGATACTGTTCCCGGTGCTGCACGGGTGGCTGGTACGCCGGTGCTGCGCCAGGCGCGTCTGCGCGCGGCGGGGCGTGCGGGTAGTACCATTGCGGAGGTGGAGGGTAGTAGCTCTGGGCGTAGTACGGCCCGGGCGCGGGAGCAGGAGGTTGGCTCTGCGATTGCGCGGGCTGCGGAGGAGGTTGTTGGGGTTGTGGAGGCGGAGGCGCAGATGCGGCAGGAGGCGGCGACGGGTAGCGGGGCTGACTATACCCATAAGCAGCCGGAGGAGGCGCAGATGCACTACCACCTCCAGGCGATACAGGTCGTGGAGGCTGAGCAGCGGGAGCAGGCGGAGGCTGCGAGTAGCCATACTGACTACTCGGCGGGAACCCTTGTTGCGGAGCACTCGAAGGAGGCGCACTCGCACGCGGGCTACTCGGGCTCGCGGTACTCGTCGCCGCCTGGCTCTGCGGAGGCTGTTGTGCAGCGGGCTGCTGCTGTTGCGGGGGAGGCGGCTGTGCGTAGCCAGGGTACCCGTACGGATACGCTGCTTCGCGATACGCGCCTGGTGGCGGAGGGTAGTAACCCTGGCCAGCAGCGGGCGGATAGCCAGGCGCTGGCGGGTACCCTGAACGATAATCTGGCGGAGGATAGTGCGCCGCAGGCGGTGGGTAATGATAGTACGGCGGGTGATGCGGGTGATGCGGCGATTCGCCCCACGGAGGAGGCGGATAATGCGCGGCAGGCGGAGGCGCGTAGTACGCGTGGGGCGGAGGACCAGGCGCAGGCGCAGGCGTTGGACCTTCCGAGGACGAAGGAGGCGGAGGGTGGTAGTACCCGTGCGGCGGCGGCGGCGGTCGTTCGTACGAGGCAGGAGCGGGATGCGGGGCTGGCGCTGCCGCGGGTGGTGCCGAAGCAGGCTGAGGGGGCGGGGCGCTGGCGGATGCGGCGCCGGCACCTCCCGGTGCGAGGGCGGGATCGATGCCCCATTCGGACGCGGGACGACGGGCCGGCGGCGGAGGCGCCTGTTGTGGCGGAGGTTGCATGCGCACGTCCTCCTCGCCTTCGAGCGTCCTCTGGCGCTTGCGAGCGTGATCGTCCGGGCCAGGATGGTTGTGTTGTTCCCACTCTTCGCGATCGCGCTTCTGGAGCTCTTGTCGGTGGCGCTGAAGTTGCTGAGCGTGGGCCTCCATGCTCAGGCGCGCGAGGCGATCGTGGGCATTGGTCGTCTCCGTATGCTCGTCGTTCTCTTCTTCGTCCGCTTCAGGAATCGGTACGGGCGCAGGAATGGCCCCAAAGCCAGCAGGGAACGAAGGAGCTCCAGGCCGCGGCTTGCGTTGGCGAATGTCCTTGCGTATACGGATCTTGATGCCTTGCTCGGCCAACGAGCATGACAACGGCGTACTCTCCTCCATACCAGGGAACTTCTTCGCCGTATACACGTAGAATGGCGACGAGAATATGCTCTTGCAATGGAACACGTTGCTCCTGAACAAGCATCGTGAGTACGCTGATGGTAATCGAGAGATCAAAGATACACACCCAACAACCTCAAACAGGCTGAGCTTTAACCTGTAACTCCCTTCTTGGCGCACGCTCAAGTCAGGGAACACGAAGAATCCAGCATCGCGGTTATCGTTCTCGGCGTCCTTGAGATGGTACAGACTCGAGACGACACTTCCAGTCGTACATCTTGTCTTGCCGTCCTTCATCCAGTGCAACTCGGTGTCCTCGTCCGGTTTCGCCAGTGATGCGAACATGAAGTAATACGGATTCTGGAGGTATCCCGCGCCAAACCCGCTGGGTGTAAGCATGCTTGCGTCGATGGCCGTCGCGCCATCTCCCGCGGCGCGCAGGACGCCCTGGCCAGCGCTCGGACCCTCGGCAACGGCGACAGGATTGCTGGTGCTGGGCGCGCCTCCTGGCGGCGGACTCGGACTCGGGCTGAGCGGCGCGGTGGGCTGTTGAGCCTGTTGCGGTTTGGGTACGGTGACGTTCCCACGCTCGATGACACGGAGCTGTACGATGGGCGGGGGGTCGATCGGGCGACGGTCGGCTGGTGACCAGCTCATCCTTAACAAACCGAAATATTCGCGTGAGCAAAACAGAAATCAAAACACACCGCCGACGCCGCACATCCTCGCCTGCTTCGGCTGTTGCCGCACGCTGAGCTGGTACTCGCGCGGCGCGGCTGCCACCACTACGGACGCATGCTGCTGCTGCTGCTCTGCCATGTTGGGAGCGCACCGGGTTGCGAATGTATTTATTATTGTTTGTTTATGTAATCGCGTCGGAGAGACTATACAGACACACGCGCGCGGCGGGGAGGCGGAGAGGCAGACGCGAAAACGGGACTCAGGCGCGCCCAGTTATGTATTCCCCAAGCGCTGGTCGGTCCGGTCCTGCGCCGCGCCCTGTGCGATTGAGCCCGATCCGCGCCAGACTGCTGGTACACTCCCTTCCCACCCCTCGGCTCGCCCGCCCCCCGCCTTCTCTTTCGGTCACAAACAACGTTATACATACACCCTTCCATTCCTGACAGACGCCTTTACATCGTACCCTATCCGTTACACACACGCCACGCAAGCACACACTACACTTCTATCTACCCGACACAAGCTACAACACGACCCTCCCTTCGTTCCCTCACTCCTTCGTACACGTTCAGTTGCGTACACGTTGCCAGGGCTCCTGCCACGGTACACCTATCAAATACGCGTCCCAAGTCAGCAACTGTAAAGTCGAAACGAATAGACGATAGACAAAAGGAGAACAGATGAAGACAAGCCTGGCCGCCGCAATCTGGCGCCCGGGGCACGGCACGTCCAAATGCCGGCAACACCCTCCCCCACGCGGAACTTTCAAACTCCGAAACCAAAACCGAGATCAAAGCACGCACCCAATATCTCGAATATCTCGCGCTCCGACGCGCCCGCTATCATCGTGCCTATACACAATCAACGTCAGTAATCCTGCACTGGGGAAAGAAGTTGAAGCAGAGGAGAAGAGGGGTGGCAGGAGGAGGCAGAACGGAAAGAAGGGGACAGGAAAGAGTTGGCCAGCCGACGCCGCGCCGCTGCCGGGCGTACGGTCACGCGCCCGCCCAGGCACGCTCAGCACCTTCCCAGTCCAAACGCGCCGCGCTCATGTTCCCGGCCAGATTCCGTGCGCCCAACCCAGATATCGCTCATACGCCCGAGTCGCCCGCGCCAGATAGCACCGCCGAAAGCCCTTGTAGAGTGTCGAGGACCTCAGACCAAACCAGCTGAGTGCGCCCAAAACGATATCACGCTCCCGCCGCTATCAGAACCCGGGACCATCGAGCGCGCGATCCACGATCGCGAAGCCCGTCCCACGCACGCCAGGACCGAGCGCCAATTGGGAAACGCGGCTGATGGACCCAGAAGCGCGGCGCGGCGCGCTATAATTGAAAGGGTTCATCCAGAACGAACGCGAAGCCAGGGCACCAGCGCGATGGTGGGAGCGCAACTCTAATCCCGCCCTCCCTCGATTCGCGTTGGAAGAAACCGTCTTGCCCGACGTAGACGACGTTATTGTGCCACAACGAGCATAGGCGTTGTAGCTGGGCTACGCCACTCGTTCGTATGTCTCGAAGAATGAACAAGACCGCCTCTTCGGGCATCCCGCGTGTTTCCAGCGCCTGAGCCCCAGATTGCAGATACGAGCACGAGCACAATCATCCTGGTCCCGCAGCTCAGAAGCCAAACCAGTTCGGGTCCTCCCCGCGCCGCCACTCGCCACGGCCCACGAGCTACAAGCCAAAGCAGATGTAGACACCGCCGTCAGACGCCATCGGAAATCGCGATCGAGGCGTAGCATGATGTAGTCGTCCCAGGCGAGTCAAGGAATGGAGAGATTGCAGAACGCGCTGCGCAAGTATATGCGCTCAAGACGGAGCGCTGAGTCGTATGCGTATCCGACCTCGTCCCAGCACGCAGGCTCCAATTGTCATCCTGCTCCGTATAACCCGGCACCCTCCCAAGTCACCGCGCATCCCTCCAGCGCATCTCCATCGCACGTAGAGACAAAAAGGAGGATTCGATGATAACGATCAGGAGCTGCAGCTGGAACGCAGCCGCGTCCCGAAATGGCATCCCGCCCCCGCGCATCCCCCTGGTAACGCCAGCGCGCCGGCCCGGCCTTCCTCGATCGCGGCGTGAGAGTGCGCGTTCTCGGGAAATTGATGCGCGCTGCTTTGGACGACGACGGCGCTGCGGGCGTCGGCCTCGTCGGGGCGGGTCTCCCGAACATTCGTCTTGACTCGCAATTGTACGCGCGTGAGATCGATAGGCTTGCGGGATGCTCGGGCAGAAGACATTGCAGTAGTGTAGATTGACGGGCAACGTGTTAGGACGAGCGCAAGTGGGCGGGAGATGGGACGGGTCACCCGATTCGAAGGTAGCGTATGGGCTGGAGAGATGGGTCCGTATGGTACCGCAGTTTCCGTGTACAACAAGGACAAGCGGTGGGAGAGAGCCCAGCGGCATGGTGGCGTCCCGCGCACGGTGGACAAGGCAAACACGCGCCGCGTGAAATGGGCGCCTGTAGAAGCACCAGTCGGCCGGGGGCGGTGCGTTTGGGTTCAGTGCTTGTTCGACGCAAGCGCTGGCGAGAGCCTCGTCGACCTCCTATTTGTTCTCGACCATCACCACACATCGTAGGATAGACTTCATCCGGAGAAGCTCGACAGCGTAGAACTCGAAGGCTGCATGTTCGGATAGGGTCTCCGCATGTTTCGACCAACGCGCCGGGTCAGCTTGAACATAGCGCGCCGTTTCATATATCCATATGCGGGTGTATAGCCCCGGCGCGTTGGCGTGAAGAACAGAAGGAGCGAACAGAACGTTTCGAGCAGGCAGAGTTCACAGAAGGCGCGGGGCCGTGGTACATCCGACGGGAAGAGAATCAGAGCCAAGCCGAGGGTCTCTCTCGCGCAGGGGCGCGAAGACAAGGCGCAGGAGGCACAGCCAGATCAGGAAGGCTATGGCCAAGTACTTGGGCGCGGGCAGGCGGCGAGGTGCGGAGGAGGAATAGGGGAGAGAGAAGATGAAGTGAGAGATCTAGAGAAACACGCACCCTTGTTCGTCTTGACCCTATCTGCATCGCGCACGACACCAGCGAAAAGCCCGCGCTGATTGAGCGAGTAGCCCATCTTGCCCGCCTTCAACCTCAGGCTTCGATTGAACTGTACGGATGCACCAATTAGCGTCAAGATCCCTTGTCACGGACCATTCAGTCCACGCCACGCAGAACCACACTCACGATATCGTCGCCCTGTTGTGTACACGCGCATGTCAGTTAGGGAGTACACACGAGGACCAGGACGAAGCACGCACCGTGTAGTAGATCAATGCGGCACCTCGGCTCTCCCATGGCACGGCGAGAATGTCTGCACAGGCGCGGGTGAGCTACCGAGCATCACCGCTCGGGATGGACCACGTACCGATACGCCTACGCACGCCTTTGCCTCCCGGGAGCACGCAGAGTCCACGATAGCAGCACTCCAAAGCATCGGGATCCTCTGGCATCGACAGATCCTCAGTCAAGATACCTGCGGCGTGTAACTTCTCGAATACGCGAGGGAGGATGCCCGCGTGCGTCCAACCATCGTCCTTCGGCCGAGTGATGAAGACGTCGATGTCGCCACACGTCTCCTTGCCGCGACGGTAGCTGCCCATGATCTCGATCACAATCTGCGAGTCAATTCTCCAGACTGTATCTTACGTGTGAGTGCTGGCCACATCTTGGAGAAAACGTACTCACCAATACGTTTGATAGCGTCAAAGATCTCGCCAGCCTCCTTACGAGGCATACGCGTATTGATGTCTATGTGCGTTCTTCAATCCGAATCCCTCGGAATTGTGCTTCACGAGCTTACCATCGTAATACTGCAGACCGATCTTTTGCGCATCGCTCAACTTTATGCCAAACTTGCCCTCTCGAAGATCGTCGAGCGTACGCGCGCCCATGAGATACCACTCGCGCGCCTTGGCGGGTCCAACGCCATAGATGCCTTGGAAGAGCTGCGCCACAACGATATCCTCCGTGCGCTCGTGCTTGATGCGCCTCAGGTTGCCCGTCCTGATCACCTCCATGATCTTCTGCGCTGTCTTCACACCCACACCTACAATCTTCTTCGCCTCCTCCTCGGACTTCAGGCGCGTTGGATACTCCTTCAGCGCACGGATAGCTATGAGGACAAAGTGAGCACGGTGGAATACAGGAAGACGGGATGTGATGTCGCACTTTTGCTCAATGAGAACGCGCGCCATTTGTCGTCTTCTGTGGGCTTAGCCTCGTGCAGGCCCTGAAGCTCGACGAGCTGCAAAGAGACCTTAGAGTCACCGCTTACAAGACAGAGATCAACCTACCTTGTCGATCACGTCCTGATTCGGACAGTTCTCCTGCGGCTTGCTAGCACCGTCGCACAAGAAGCCCTACGTGCACAATCAGTTGTACTGGCATACTGAGCGAGGTCGCAATACACACCTTGAGCTCCTTGCCGTCGCTTCCATGGCGAACCATCGCGCGAGAACCACCGCCTTCTCCATTGGGCGACTCTTCTTCGGCATTTCGCTCCGTGCGCGCCTGCTCGTAGAACTCTGCAAGCGGGTCCGAGCCAGCCGGCACAAGTGGCGCAACTGGAGCAACCGGCTTAATCGGCTCCTTCGGTAGGAACTGGAAAGACGGAGGATGATCGGGCTCCGGCGAAGACCTGAACAGTCAACAATGAGGTGGACAGACGACCAAGGCGCGAAACGAGACTCACTCCCGCGACGAGTTCGAATCATACCCAAGCATACGCCGAATCTCTTCGCGCGTCTTCTTCGGCTTCGCGTCAAGCTCCGCAATCCTCTCCTTGGTGAGACCTGGTATCATCGGGATCCGCTCGTCGAACGCCGGGAAGTCCATATGCGGCCTATGAGTCCTGAACGTCCATTCCCAGGTGACGATGGGCAGCTCCTCGGGGATCTCGTCCAAAGACTTGATGCCGGCCTGCTCTACGAACTGGTTCGCGTTCCTACAGTCGGTTATGATCACGTTGGGCTGATAGTCCTTGTTCCATTCAGGAAGAAGCTCTGCACCGTACTCGAGAAGCTACGAAGGACGACTATCAGCACGCTGGTTTCAGGGACTTGTGTCAGAAGGAACGTACAAGGCGCATCTTATTCCTGGTTCCCTCAGTCGCCGTCGTGAAGTCTATACTGATAAACAGAATGCGCTTTCCCTTCAGATGCTTATCCTTCTCCGGGCATTTCCTGCACTTCGTCTCCCGGTTCTCGATGAGCCACCGCGCATACTCCTTCGGCACCAACCTCGGCGGCTTCTCCTTTGCGTTCTTCTTCGCAGGCGCCTTCTTCTTCGCCGCCGCCGCAGGTGCGGGTTTGGACGTCGAAGCACTAGTGGCAGGAGTGCTAGCGGCCTTCTTCGCCGTGGGCCGCGCCGATGCGGACTTGGACGTCGAAACACTAGCGACGGGTGTACTAGCGGCCTTCTTCATCGTGGGCAACACTAACGGGGGATTCTTGACACCCTTCGATCCCGACGCCTTGTCCTTACCGGTGAGGGCAGGCGCCGTCTCAGCCTTCTTCACAGCGGGTCGCGGCGGAGGCGGGGGAAGCGGTGCCATCTTGCTCTTCCCCTTATCAGCAATCGGACGCATGCCGAGCGGCGGAGGCGGCGGCTTCCTGTACACATCGCCCGACGCCGCGCGCTGTACGCTGGAAAGCGCGCCAGGCGTAGTGATCGTACTGGCGTTCGCCAAGTCGGTTCCCTTGCGAGCAGTACGGCGAGGGGCGGGCGTCCATGTGGATACATCCTCCGCAGGCGAAGAGGGGACTGCAACCTTCCCTTTCTTGAGCGCAGGTGGGCGGGTAACGCTCGATGATGCCGTCACGATGGGCGACGACGACCGTTGTTCCGCCGGCGGCGACGATGAGCGAGGCACGGGCTCGCGCGCCTGTGCTTCGTCGCATGAGCTTTCTTCTTCTGTGTCCGAGTCGGTGTACGCCGAAGGCAGACGGGAAGTCGATGCAGGCGGTAGTTCGATGGCGAGCTTCGGCTTTTTCGCGACGGGCGCGTGGCGGTCGGAGTTGTTACCGCGTGGGGCCTTGTCGCCACTGTGGCGCGTCGTGGCCGTCTTGCCCGAGCGACTGCCTACTGCATCAATGGGCTCGGGGGACGCTATACATGAGGTCTTTGGGTCAGAATTAGACTGCAAGAGTGGAGAATGGAAGACTGTACAGTGTAATTCGCGTTTGGCAGCGCTGTGGTTGTCAGCTGAATCAATCGGCTCTGAGTCCTCGTCGACGTCGGGGGACTTCCTGAAAGGCCGTCAGACACGTAAGAGAGAGTACAGTGAAGCATACCTCTTCCCCAAGAGCTTTGTAGGCGGCCTCCGTGTCGTGGCGGACCTCGCACGGCGCACCTCATTGTTGAAGACGTTCATCGTGTCGAACGCCTCGATCGGCTGCAAAGAGGATTCCCTCGCCGCTCTGAGAGCAGCAAAGCGAGCGTTGGTCCTGGCAGACCTCTCATGCATAGCCCTGCAGAGGAGGAGGGGGAGAAGAGTCAGCGTCGGCGAAGTCGGTGAAGTGCGCCACAACTATTCACTTGATCATCCCCGGAAGAACGGTCGCCCGGAACACCGGCCAGTTCTCCTCGAACTCGCGCTCTTCCTCGCTAGGCATCTCTCGATCGTTGTCGTTGTCGCTCATGGCTGATCGGCTAGGATAGGATGGGTGGGGAGGTGAGGGGATTAATGGTGGTCGGGAGGAAAACAAGAAGATGCATTTCAGGCGTGGGGGACTTGACCGATCCGTTCACGCGAGTCAAACTCCGACCAACCACACAAGAGAACCACCGTCAGGAACCAACCAACGAACCATATACGACGCGCGCCTACAAGCTCACACATTCACACAGGAGATTATCCGCAAGTATGTTATATTCCGCTAAGCGTTGCACCGAATCCTACAAATACAAAAGAGATCGTGTACATCATGATACAGATACAAGTATGCATTTACGAAGACTTGTTGCCGAGGCCGAGGGTGTCCTTGGTCTTGTCGAGGAGCGAACCCTGCAAAAGATATCAGGATGTAGTGCCGAGTAGACATGAGCGCAAGCACATACGGAGTTCTCGTTCGAGTTGCCCGAGAGGGTGTCGCCGGCCTTCTGGGTGGTCGACTTCTCGCCCTGAGGCTGGAGCGACGACGCGACAGAGTCGGTGGTGCCCTTAACGGAGTCACCGATGTGCTCGGTGGTGGACTTCTCAGAGTCGGGCTGCAGTGATGATATTCAGACGCGATTGTCAGGAGCTAGAGGGTAAAAACGCACCTTCAAGGCAGCGGAAGCCTTGTCACCGAAAGACTGGCGGCCGGCGTCGGACATGATGAGTTCAGATGAGTTGGGTGAAGAGTGTTTGAGTGAGTTGAGTGGTAGTAGAGAAGGCTGGTGAGGGATAGGAGAAGTTTCGCACCGCTCCTTATATACGCGCTGAATCGAGGTCCGGAAAGGCTGGAGTTGGACCTAACCCCACTCGCGCGTCATGGTCGCGACGCGTCCATGTGACCTTGCGTGTTTCGTAGCCGTTGACGCACGAACTGCGCTGAACCGCATTGGGTCGTCATGGAGCATCAGCATACATCCAGCCGCATAGAGCCCGCGCCTATCGCACCCAGACTCGCAGAACCGTGTACGGTGCAGATGAGTTACTCGAAGAGCTCAAGAAGATACTGTACTGAGCAGCTCAGATGATCCAGATCGGCGGATGATGTCTAGGAGCTTACGTGCGGCGCACGCGACCAGCTCATACAGTTCCAATGAATACGTATGCGATATAGCTGAGCTCGGTACTTGACTTGCGCTGTAAGACGTGCTAGCGTCGGTACCATCCGTCGACGTCTTCATCCGGGATAGAGCCTTCGCACTTCATGACGCGCCCGCACGTCATGTCCACTCTCCCGCCGCTCTCCAGCTCCATACCCAGACCCGCCGCTGTCGCACTGTATGGCGAAGTACCTGCGATGGGACATCATAACAGTTCTTGGACCGAGCAAGCTCCCAAGTTCCGCGCCGAAGTGCCCGGAACGCGCATGTCAATGGGGTTCGTGGAGCCGTTGTATTGCTGAGCAAATGCATCGCGTTATCACAGGTCTGGCGTACGCGTACGCGTACCATACGCCGCCGGCTCAGATGTATGTGTGAGTCCGGATCTATCTTGTCGGCGGATCTTGATGTCTTGAAGGTGGATCTGAATAGTCCGAGAGAATGTATGAGAACGGCTGCTTCCGGTAACAGGCAGATACACAAAGACATCACGTACGCTGTTTCAAACACAGAATGTGACATAGGAAGGGGAAGAGAACTAAAAAGTAGGGTCGATCCATTTCCTTGTTCGCCCGAACGGTATGGACCACGAGTACCATCAGCTGCTCTTGCAAGATGTGCGATGCGATAACGAACATTCATTGAAGCGAGTTCGTGCCTCCCCGATAGAGGCATGTCTGGTCTATATGGGTCACGTCAGACGTAGCGTCTACCAGTATCACAGGCCAGGGGGACCTACCAGCTCACGATCCCCCGTCGTTGAGGACGCTTGAAGCTCGCTTGATGGTATGCAAACGTCCCAGAGTGCAGTTGCTGTTCGAATGCACCGGTGTCGCTGCTTGCTCGCTTTGCGCGACCGTATAAGAGCTTCACGGTGCAACATTGAGAATGGTATCTTCACCGGATACAATCATCACCATGTCCTCCCGTAGTACGCTCGAATCCAAGACCGAAGAGTTGCGCACCGGCAGCAACGACAAGCACTGGGTGAGTTCTTGATGGTCGATACAGCGCCCATCCTTTGCAGATGGCCAACCAGGAAAACAAGAGCAAGCTCGAGCAAGTCGCCGCCGCTCTATTCCCGGGGAGTTCAGACAAGGTAAGCACTATGCTCCATGTCGCACGTCCGAAGTTGTATTGACAGCACGTCGGAGGGTGGAGATTCTCCCGTGACGACAACAGACGTGACGATTCAACCTGCACTGTTGTACAATGATACAGCCTGACGACATCCATAGAAAGCGACAGAAGACCGATCGAGGACTGAGGCAGCGGATGTTCAGGGTGCGAGCCAGGTAGACGAGAAGGCGCGGCGCGAAGCTCGAGGCGCGAGTAGCAAGGCCGCAGATGTCTTTGTGAGAGTGGCCTCAAGTTCGACTGCGTGCTAAAAAGCTGATAGGATGACAGAACGCAGCTGCGCGTCAAGGACAGCCCCAAGCATCGGGGGACGCTCAGCAGTCCACTCCGAGCGCCGGTGGAAACGCACAAGGCGCTGGCGACGCGGTCGACAAAGCGGCGCAAGACGTGAGCAACAAAGCGGGAAAAGTCACTCAGAGCGCGAGCAATGCCGTAGGAGAGGTCGCACAAGGTGTGAGCGATACCGCCGGGCAAGTGACCGAGGGTGCAAGAGACGCTGCCAAGCAGGGCGTGGTAAATGCTATCCAAACCGCACTGTGTTGCTTCGCTAACAGATGTCCAGAACGCCACAGCCGATGCAGCGCAGGGCGCGAAACAGGGTGCCGGAGAGCTCGCGCAAGGTGCCAGCGACACGGCCAAGCAAGGAGCGCAGTACGCCAGTGACACGGCTCAGCAGGGCGCTCAGGTCGCGAGCGATACGGCCAAGACCGGGGTGGTAAGGTTGTTCTTCCTATCATGCGGGAGAATGCTGACGAGAGTCGTTGTAGAAAGCGACTGTTGGTGCAACGGTTGGTGCGAAGGAGGGCGCACAGGAGGGCGCGAAGGAAGGCGCGAATGCTTGAGTCGCGGAGGCCTACAGCTTAGCGCCTAGAGGACTAAATGAACGGGCTACTAAAGACATATCAGGCGCTACATAGCTGTGTAAATGATCTATATGAGCATCATGTATTACCGTATTGGCCTCATCATCGTTAAGCGCAAATTGCAGACGCGACTTCGACGCGTCGCGTCGCGTAACGGCAAATCCCGGAGACGCGTCCGGACGCGCTCGGTCCCACGCTCGTCCCAAACGAGCATTCCTCCTCCTCAAGGTGAGTACAAAATATCAACAACATGTGACGGTTGTGTAAGTCGTGTTCGGTCCGAACCGAACATAACTTGAACTCAACCCCCACCATCGCAATGAACGCTCCCTCTTCCGTCGACCGCCCTGCTCCCGTACGTTCGCGGTGAATAGCTCGGGGATCGTGCACAAATTCATGTAATAGGTTACCGTTAATCGTATGGTTGCCGAAAGGTACCGGTTGATAGCCGAAGTGGGGTCAGGCTTCCACAGTATGGTTTTCCTCGCCATACCTCAAGACGTGCTGACATGAGTTACACAGGCCGTATTTACAGGGCCCATGACACTGTGGAAGATGTGGACGTGGCCATAAAGGTCGAGTTCCACGAATACGGCGATGGATCGCTCGCCAACGAGCACATGATATATCAGTTTCTCAGAGGCTGTGCCGGAACGCCTCAACTCTTGTGGTACGGAGTGCACAGCGACGTTTGCACGGCAATGGTCATACCTCTGCTGGGCCCTTCGTTGCACGCACTGAATGAGGCGCAAGGCGGCCTCCGCCTCATGACCATATTAGGCTTTGCCTTGGATTGTGTGCGTAGCCGCCCTACTCTCTCTATTCATCGCTTATCTGGCGCCAGATCACTATACTCGAGGGTATCCATGATCGCGGCGTGATACACGGGGACGTGAGCCCCAAGAACATATTGCTCGCTCGGCCGTTACGCAACGGATCACCGACGAACGGCGAGATTGGGGGGTCAAACAAACTCGTTATCGTTGACTTCGGGTCGAGCCGTAAGCTCGAAGCCATTCGCCCGTTGCCGACATATGCACCGATCGGGACGTTCATATTCGGTTCTCACAACGATGGATACTACACGCCGTCCCCGTACGACGATCTGGAGAGCCTCTCTTATGTCGTGATGTTCCTGCTGGCTGGCTCCCTGCCCTGGGACGACGAAATTGATCTTGATCGCCTTCGCGACATGAAGCTCAACTTGAGCCCACAAGCGTTCAAGCACACACTCCCGCCATGCGTCTTCGATATTCACGAATATGCGATCAAAGGCACCCGCGAACGGCCGAATTACCAACTCATGAAGGAAAAGGTCTTGCATGGGATGTGGATTGAGACGCTGACAAGTGTGGCGAAGTTCGTGCGAAATAGCCCTTCCAACGGGTGGGTGAATCCTTGTTTTATCATGTCCGACTCTGACCTGTTGTGCGTAGGCGCAGCGGCTTGTCTAGCACATCACCGTTGAAAAAGATTTCGCCGCTATAGTTCCCACCTCTATACGCCCTGCTCTGCGAGCAAGTGCTCTGATCCTGTTACCTTCCCAGATTCCCATCCTCGTTCTCCTCACCCTCCGTATGAAAAAACCCTCCGGTGCCATCAATAGATCTTTCTACCACTCATAGATCCCCCCCTACCGCTTACACACGGACAATGTTGCCCTTAAAATGGTGTTCAATGAGACCTGGTTCACTGCGTTGACCATCAGTAATGCGGCCAGTGCGTGTTCAACGCGTCTATAAGTAATATCGGGGCGGTCCGGCGAGCTGCATAAACCGTTCGAACATCGCGCGCGCCGTCTAATAGGCCGAGCGGTTGGGCGCATGAGGGTTTACAGCCGTTTTGCGAGCTTAAATAAGACCGCGCAAGCTTCTGGCGAGAAGTGCGCGCGCGGGCAAGCTATCTGGCTGCAGCCAGAGGGCGAAGATCGTACGAAGTCGAACATGGCGGAGGGAGAAACGAGGTGACGGCTACGGCGCGGCGGGGCAAAGAACCGGTCTTGGCCCATGGACTCGGGCAACCGCACGCGAGCAGACGCGAGCGCGCCGAAAGCTGCTCTCTCCAGACACGGTCTTTCCGGCCCACCACCACAGCCGTCTATTGGCTACCCATACTCGTCTCACTGCACGCGCCGGCAGCCTCCTTGCGTATACTACTCGGGATATACAAAATATGCTTGGATCCAGAGCTGCATTGCTCCGGGGGCCGGCGCGCGCTGGCAGTACGAGGTGCGTTCATAGACCTGCATAAGCGGTCCGCGTACTCATTTTACTGTAGGAGTCTCTCACAAACACTGCTGGCTCAAAGGCACCAAAGGATACGGCCCGTCTATCCCGTCATCTGCGCCTCGCGCCAATTCAGCCTATGGCCGTCCTCAAAACCTTCGCCCGCGCCCGCGCCCGCACCTCCCACAGACGCGCCTGCACTTGCATCACCAGTCCCAGAACAAGTCGCCTCTTCAGCATCAACACCGGCATCTCCCGCAATAGACGCTCCCTCGCCCGACGTGACAGCCAGTCTACTACAAGAAAGCGCCACACCCGGCGCGCCCGTCTCCTCAGCCGTCGACCTCGCAGCCAACACCGTCAGCGCCGTCCCACCTCTCCAGCTGGGCGACTGCGCCGCCGCCGGCCTGACCAAACTCGGCCTCGTCTCCTTCCCCGCCGGCCTCGCGGTATCCTTCCTCGAGTTCCTCAACGTCTCCACCGGCCTCTCGTGGTTCTCGACCATCATAGTCGGCACCATCGCCACGCGCGCCGTTCTGTTCCCGCTGGGCGTGCTGCAACAGCGCAATACGGGAAAGCTCGCGCCGTTCCAGCCGAAACTGCTGGCGTTGAAGGAGAAGATGACGGAGGCGGGCAAGACGGAGGATAAGGTCGCATTGCAGCGCGTTATACTCCAACAACGGAATATATACAGGCAGGCGGGAGTCAGCCTGCCTGCGATGCTTGCGCTGCCGTTCGCGCAGATCCCGGTCACGCTGGGCATGTTCTTTGGGATTAGGAGGTTGATGGAGTCCAACTTGCCGCAGGTGCACGCGTCGGGGATCGCGGATATCATTCCTGCGTGGGCGGATTTGAGCGTGCCGGATCCGTACTATATGATTCCGGTCGCGAGTACGGTGTTGATGAACGTGGCTATCATGGTATGCTGTACTCGAGTATACGAGTGACCATGTATGCTGACGAAGGATGTTCAGGCGTTCTCGAAGGACCAAGCTGCGACGTCTGACCGTAAAACCGTCGGATTGACCATGCTCTTCTTCCGCGGCATGTCTATCATCTTCCTTCCCGTGTCGATGACCCTCTCCCTCGTACGTTCTCACACACACTCCCCGCCATACTGCTCTCTAACTTGCATCTCACAGGGTCTGAACGTCTCAATCATCACCGGTTCGATCCTCCTCGCCGCACAAACATACATCCTCCGCAAACCCGCCGTCCGCCGCGCACTATCAATCCCCCCTCTACCAAAGCGGAACAAGCATCAAACGACGCCGACGTTCAAGGAGTCGATCGGGTTCGCGAAGGAGTGGTTCATCAACAAGAAGGAAGAGGCGGAGAGGAAGGCGCTCAGGCAGTCGAACGTCAAGAAGTGGTAGAGTGAGCACGGTGTCGTAGGTGTTTTGGGTAGCTTATACGTGCTATAATACATACTATTGCCACTGCCGTGCTGCGAATTTCGAGAGCATATACGCTTCATACCGAGAAGCTTCTGAGCCGCGAGAGCCGTCGGCCCGAGGTGCCGAAGAGCTGTGGCGCGGCGCGGCGCTGACAACACGCTGGATTCGGACGATACCTCTATCGCTGTACACCAGTCTCTACACGCAACATCGATCATCGTCGCCGTCCAGACTCAACGAGTGCTCTTGCACACCTTGTACGTGCACACCTACACGTGTACATACAAAGTCCACTGAAACAAGAAATACAAGATAAATGTCCAATACAAAGCGTGCGCAGCGCCACACCGTCGCTAAAAGTCTACTCAATGCTACGAACCGGTTATACACCCACTACTCGTCCTCCAAGGCAACCAAAACAGCATCCAAAGTCATCCGTTCGAGCCCCAGCTCGCGCTTAGCCTCGTCCAGCTCCCGCTCAAGTCCCGCACTCCTTTCCTCCGATTTACCCAGCTTCGACTCGGCCTTCGTCGCGCGGCGGGCCGCGCTCTTCTCCTTCTTCTCCGCCTGCTCGGCTTGTGTTCGGATACGCGTTATGACGGCTTGCACCGCAGCCAACGCGTCTGACATTAGTCAGTCTGCGCTCATATGTCTGAGTTGAGCGGAAACGGCTCACCACGAGCAGAGGCGACGTTCTGCGCTTCGGGCTCGTGTTTGATGAGCTCTAGCAGCTGCGCGCGGTAAGTCTCATGCACATCAGCGATGCCCTCCTCAGCTTCTCTCTTATCCGCGATAAGGCGCTCCTTGTAAGCTCTGGTCTTCTTGAGACGAGCGTGGATCTCCTCCCGACGGCGGACTGGGGACAGAACGGCGACAGCCGTGGCAGTTGGAGAGCTGGGATGTAGGTCAATGGTGGGTCGTGATGGGTACAAGAAGCATACCTGTCTCTTCTATGGGGTTTCTGCGTCGCGTATGTTAGCGGATCTCGATCAATAGCCAAGCTTGCATAGAAGACATGCGTACTCTTTTTCTAGGAGACGTGCGAAGCGTGCCAGGCTTGATTTTAGAGCTGCTCGAAGGGGTTGTCGGAGTGTTCCTCGAAGGAGCGCTCGTCATTGGCGGTACTGTGGCCATTTCAAGTCGCGCGGCAGCCTTGCTGCAAGACCCCGATGAGAACAGGGTCGGACGTGAGGCAGAGTAGTACTAGATCGCGGTTCAAGTTGAAGTTCGACTTGATCCCCAGCAATCGCGACGCGCAAAGTCAACCAAGCCAGTGTCACATGGGAATCTCCTCGGCTATTTCCTGATCGGTAGAGCAAAACTAGAAAGCGGCACCGACGATGAGACGACGAACTTTGCGCCTCATAATAA